TATCAGATTACTACAATTACTCTTCTTATGTCTCTGGAAGGAGGGGATTGTTATTTTGCAGGTGCAGTAAAGAGACATAAACAGACAAGCTGACATGACTGGTGTCACATGGAAAGGCTGTAGAGATTATTTTTCATTAATAACATTCTTCCCAATGAATTATAACTTTCTGGATTTTTGTTCTCTGGAGCTCTATTGAAGTTTTTAATGTTTTTGTTCTCCTTTTTGAGAAGAAGGATAAATCCTATATATATGCATGTATATTTATATATACCAATAAAATATGAAAGTGGTAAGTTCAGAAAGATCTATAATGTCAAATTAAAATATTTGTTATTATTAACTTGGCTGAGGATGGCTAAGCAGTCATGATAACTATTTTCACACATTGAAACCTTTAAACAAGAATGAAGTATGTAGGAAGTATTTTGAAGAGCAGCAGAAATTAATCGGAGTCAGATTTCCCATGGCACCTATCCTCAGTCAAGGAAAGAATATATATTTCTTGCAGAAAAAGTGGGATTTAGGATGCATGGAATTTTCTTCTTACAATGAAAAATGCTCAGCAGAAACAGTATTTTTCGCTTATTTCCAAATGGCAAGCATACTGTCGCCAGAAAGCATCTGTGACTAAAGTGTGTTGGAAGGACCAGTGGCGAGGTTGTGAGACACTGGATCAGAGTTAGTATTAAAGACAAATCTTTAATGTGCTCCCATGAGGTGAAATGGCTTTTGTGGAATTTACTTTTCTGGCTTCTTTTCTAAGGCTGCTTTGGTCTGCTTGAATTTTGTTGACAGTCTGTCAAATTTTATTTGTCTCTGAGCAATAGGAATGTAAAGGCATCAGTGTACCCCAGTATGTTTTGCCACTCTTGCCCAGATCTTAGCAGAAAGACCTAATTTAATTTTCATGGGAATAAAGGATAACTTCACAAAACAACAATGTAAAATTGTCTGATATACCATCTGGCATTGTAAATAGAATTTTGGCAATGATTTGGTCTTTCAAGCAAGTTTTTATGGACAAATAAAACAAATGTTAAAAGGAAAAGTCTAATTAAAGAAGAGGGAAAATGGACACTGCTTTTCCTTGTAAAATAAGAATCTATACAGTCTCCTGTAACAGTAGTGAAGAAAACAAAACAAAACAAAACAAAAAAAAAAAACACAAACCAAAAACCAGAGGCAATAGGTGGAATCTGTTAATAATTTAACGAAAAGCTGAGGCTCAGGCTACAAGAAATTGAATTTTGTTCAATTGCAGAAAACACTCTGAACTAGCAGGCCTGGACTGATGGAATAAATCTCTTCTATTAACATGGGAGATAATTTTATGTAAATGTATTTGGAGACCTTCTAGCAGAGCTGAGCATCTTAGCAGTAACACTTAACTTCTTTGCAGAGTAATTTCATTTAGACCAAGGTCAACTGAAGGAAATAGCTGACTAAAATAGCATTAACCAGGTTCCTGGGGGGCTTGGGGCATTGTAGACACTCAATCTTGCCTCCAGAAAGGACATGTTGACACTAGAGAAGCCAGCTGCTTCCAATGCACTGTGTTTTATTCGAATGGGGCAAATTTTATCACCCAGGGAAGCAGAAGATTTGAGACTCATCAGGGACAGTCTGGGCTTGAGTTTTCCTCCAGTTCCCAGCTCTATCTCTTTTAAATAGATTCAGATTCATGCATCTTGCTCCATCTTCCTTTTATTGCTATGGGTTGGGAATGATGTCCCCTTAGTGGTAACTTCTTTCCTTAAGGCATGGAAATAAAGCAATGGTTACAGTCATCAGGAGGGTGGGGATGCTGCTGGGTTTGCTGATGAGCTGCTTCTCTGAGAAGAGAAAGCTTCCAAGTCCATGAGCACGTAGGTGTGCTAGCAGAGTTGGATAAGTGCTGGGAAGCAGCAGCCAGGATGGGAACTATGTCTCTTTCCAAAGGTGGGATGTCAAATGCATTTGCTACATCTGCCAAGGTGAGAGGAAGCACAGTGTTTGTCCACCGTGTGCTGGTGCTTGTTGTAGAAATAGTTGTCAGTGATATGTAACGGAGCAGATGCTTGTGGATATAAAGGACATCCCCCATTTACTGAGCCAAGGATCTAGGTCAATTTGCTTGCACTGTTACTTAGAACTTTAAAACTGCCTGGACATGTGTTGTGTGTAGGGCAGCAGGAGAGACATCTGCAACATGAATTGTTTTCTTTACTTGCTTTGACCTCTTGGAAGAAAAAAGAACAGGTGGAAGTGTTCTTCTTGGGTTTACAGACATGTAGGATCCTGTTTGTCATCCTGTTCTTTTAAAAGTTTTAAAGCTCTTTTGGGAGTTTTCTATACCTTCTGGAGTTCTCACGCACTGTTCATGTAAATAATGATTGTTTTGCATTCTTCTTTGTGGGAAGAGAGAATTGATGGACTGTTAGTTTCACCACTGTGGTCGAAGTGGCAATTTCATCCTCCAATCCACTGTCACTTTTGGAATTCTACATATTGTGAGGTCAGAAATAAAAGTTACTTCCTTTTGCTCTTTTGATCTTAGTGTGAGTGCGTGAGTTATTTTGTGTTGTAGTGCGACACTTGTTCTTATTATTTTAAAACATTTGTAGTTGCAGTGTTTACTTGAATATATGGTACAGAAACCAATTCCTTTGTACACAGGTGCTAGTATTCCTGAAAGAGTGAATTTGCAGTGATTCCTTGTCTTCCACAAAATGTTCAGCTCATTTGATGAGAAGCTGAGAGAAGGCAGTTTCAAACCCATCATCTGGTCTCTCTGGATAGAAGAGAAGATGGGGCAGAGTGGAGCAGATAATGAAAAAAAAACTGGGAAGAGAAAGCTTAGGTTCTGCTGTTGACTCAGAGATGTGCTCAGACATGTTCACTTTGCACAAAAATTGCACTGCAGATGGTGACCTGTTGACTTCACTGGGGTTATTCCAAGCATTGACATTTTTCCAAGCAAATCCCGTGGCATCGTGATCCTTTTGAGTTATGCTCTACCTGTGTGTTAGAGAGTGATGTACATAATACTGTACTGGATTATTGTTTTCCAGTTGTTATATATGGAAAGCTGAGTTAGAGCCCTTAATGGGAGAAACAAAAGAAGTATTAAGGATATTATTCCCCTCATTGGCCCTATCCCTGAAAATGTTCAAGGCCAGCTAGAGGCCTGGGGCTCTGAGTAAATCAGTCTAGTGGAAGGCACGCATCTTGGAACTAGATGATATTTAATATCCCTTCCAGCCCAAACCACTATTGGATTATTAGCTCCAAACTTGGTCCAAGTCTTTTCCTACATGACTCCTAAGAAGTCACTGATAATACATCAGAGAAAACTCAGTGACATAAAAATCATTTCCAGTATCTAATTTTCTTGTGACCTATTCTAAAATTATATGTGAATATAGTCATATCTTAGATTGCAAACACATTTTGGCATCACTGTGGTAATTTTTGATAATATTGGAGCTCTCCATTTAGATCAGCAGGAATTTTAAGACTCCCTGGCAAATGGTCTGTTTGCTGTACTGTGGAATGTAAAAATTGTGCAGCCTTTATTAAATAGAAGTTATACTTTATATCCTTTGCATTGTACAATCTCAGATTTTTAGGTGGGCTGTAAGAAAATAACTGGCTCTTTCCCTACTGATTTGTGTTTATGAAATCTTCTTTACAAAACATTGCAGAAATCATCCTTTGCCTCAGTGAACCAGCAAAGCACCATTGCTCCACTGAAGTGCAGCTGGGATGATTTACTCTAGCTGAGATCTGGTTCTGCACCTGGAGAAACACTGGCTTTCAATCTCTGTGCTCCAGCAGGACAGCACTTAGAAAAATTATTCATTGGGTCACGTTAGCACACTGACACTACAATTTGCTGTTGCTGCTCAGAAAAATAGTTACCTTCAGCCAAAAATTGGGTTCAGACACTCTTGCAGACATGTGATGTTTTGTCTTTATGGGAAGCTCCTAAAGTAGCAATGTAGTAATGACTTAGAAGTCTGGAAACAGACTTTGGAATGAGAACCAAGAAAATTTGTCTTTGGCTTTACTGCAGGTTTTCTGACTGACCTTGGACAACTGAAAATCATTCCATGTTTTATTTCCTCTCTCTGGCTGTATTAATCAGTGTTTGTAAAGGTCCTTGAAATCCTTAGATAAAAGAGCATATTACAGATCACAGAGTAGTTGGAATAGATGTAGCCTATAAAATGGTACAATCTGCCAAACTTGGAAAGAAAAAGAGGGTAAGAAAAAGCCCATCCTATTAGTGTGTTCAGCTCCCCAGGAAGATTGTAAGGAGGCTTTCTGAACCTGGCAAATTTTCTGTCATGGTTTTCCCAAATGGGAAAGAAACGAGCTGCCAAGCTTTGGTCAGGATCTTCTGTGGCTTTTGTGCCTTAAATACGTCTGTGTACTGCATGGCAATTTTCTGTTCCCTTTGATTCTAAAATACACCTTGCTTTTAATTAGGGCAATACTGTTAAGACACTACTGGCTGTTAGGAAAAGGTTCTTCACTCAGAGGGTGGTTGGGCACTGGAACAGGCTCCTGGGGGAGTGTCACGGCACCAAGCCTGCCATAGTTGCAGAAGTTTGGACAGCAAGGAATGTGGTATGATTTGAGGGCTGTTCTCTGCAATGACAGGAGCTGGGCTCAGTGATCTTTTTGAGTCCCTTCCATCTCAGGAGATTCTGTGAAATTCCGGTGTGATGTTGTGAATCCTACAGAAGTTTATACTTAATGAAATATATGCTGCAGCAGTTGCTTTTATATAGTAGGGTAATTGTAAACCTCACTTTGAGTATCCAAGGTTTTTATTCCATGCCTGA